CCTCAAAAGAGCACACAGAGCCTCACTCGACGGGCCAGCGACAGGGAGATGCTGAGGAAGCCAGGAATTGCTTCCCAAGACTAGCACTCACTGTTTGCAGTGGGCTTCAGAGAGGTGCACGTTCTGCTTCTCACCTCCCTTTGCTGCCTCTTTCCTCAGGCACTGTTGGAGACTGGAAAAACATCACGACAGTGGCACGGAGTGAAACGTTTGACAAAGTTCTTAAAGAGAAAATGAAGACTCTGCCCGTCAAATTCATCTGGGATATTAATGATGAAATGTAGGCTGGTTTTGAGTTTCATCATCCTTTGGTGTTCATACTAGATGGACATATCTGAAGTTCTGGAAGAAGAAAATACATCCATTTTCAGCTATGTTATAGAAATAATAACGCTGACAACTCAGTCACAAAATGCGAGTTGTCTGAGGAAGCTATTAAATTCCACCAGTTTCCTGTTTGTAATTTTACAATTTTAATTAACTTTCTTAGTAAACTGACTTCCTTTCTTCATGTTTGCTTTTACTTTCATTGGCTTTAATAATACCAGAGTTGTAGACAACCAAGTGAGGACTGATTGGTGTTGCCAAAAACTTTCTGAAAAACGTTTCACTCATGCATTTCATGAGGCTTCCTTTGGTAGAACCTTCAATGTCCAGATTGGAAGTTAGATTGACCAGCTGTGGTATGGTTATGCTTTGATATGTTTGAATTCCTGTTTCCTTGGTAAACGCTGATACTCAACCATTTGCTATTAAAGTGACCTTACGTTGCATTCTCTTGTGTTGCCTATTGACTGAAACACTTCATTGCATTGTCTGTTGTGGTTCTCAAGGTCACGTCTGACAATTTGCTACTTGAAATATTGAGAAAAAACACAAGCCATAGTCATAGCAGTTTTTAAGTGAATGTCCACTCTATCATACCTGATGATCTGCTAGAGCTACTGATGTAAAAAACTACCAGCTATCTATGACTACGTCCTTCCTCATATATTCATTGACTCACTACCATGGTTTAACCTGTCCAGGATTCAACTCCATGCAGCGACTTGCCCATGGGCTTCCCCTGAGAAGGTAAGTACAGAGGCATATTTCAAGATTTTTTTCTATCAACAACTCAAAAAATATTTGCAAATTCAATAAGTCCACTCCTGACGTATCTGGTCTACGATACATTCACCTTTGTAAACAGCTGTCCTGATATAAGGACATAAGGCATAAAAATGCCTTTTACGTTGCTTACAAAGGGAAGTCCAACTCCTGCGTATTTCTCAACTCTATCCACTGAAATTACTCACAAACTAGAGCTGTAGTTCCTCCCCTCCCCATGTTCGCACTGTTAAGTCTCTGATATATCTCTAGCATTTTTTTCCCCTCCAATAATCTTCTGTCCCTTTCAGCGCAGCCTCAATCAGGAGGGCAGAGGGAAAGGACATGATCTGAGGAGGAAACATTTTGTTCCAACTCTTTTTCAGACACCAACCACACTTCCCTGGCGGGGAAAGCAAGTTTTGGACCCTCATTCCTGCTTCCTGCTATGATATCTACGTGATCAAACTATGGTGACTGCTTTTGGTTGCTATTGAATCAATGTCCTACCAAGCAGTCATAGAAGGATATAACTTCTAATTTCAAAAACATTTCAAATAATCATTTTGATTTGGCAAAGAACATCTAACCTTGGCTTTCCCATCAACTGTTTGAAAAATGTAAAAAATCCTCCCAGTTCACATACTGGCTTTCTTGTTTGTTTACTTCCATCACTGGTCCCAAGGGACCAGCTCACTCTTCTCATTTTCAATCCACTCATTTTAGCCTTCCGATACATTGTACCTGCTTTTTTCCTGGACAGAGTTACCTCATGCACAGCATGCTGCTAGCTGCTATTAGGCAAAGGTGACCTCATACAATTAGCCTACAAGAAGAGTATCTCCCTGTCCTTCAACGGTACAGCCAGACCATCTTTCCTTCTGGAGCTTTGCATCCCCGATACCAAGAAAACAACTTACAAAAAAAACCCTTATGTGACTTATGTAACCACTGCATCCCCCGACCTCCGAGTTCAAACTTCCCACAAGGGGACCGGTGACCTTTTCCACTCGTACATATTTACCCTGGCCACAGAAAAGGTAAAACTAGTTCAAGGTCAGAAGCCTAATGCAGGCCTTTTGCCGAGTTTGCCGTAAGTACAAACAGACCTCCTGATTACAAGTGGGACCTTGATCTTTACTTTTTCCAATGACAGGAAGTCCCAGCATAGTAATAAAAGCCACATAAACCTCACACTACGCTGTATGCCGCAGCCCAATGGTATCAGCTCACTCTATTAGTTGCAGATTTCATGAGCACGCAGTGCAGAAAGTAGAATAATCGAGTTCATGGCAATAAATGCAATTATGCCAAAGAATTGAACCTGAAAAGCCCTCCAACTCTGAGCCAAGTTGCAAGGCACTGAAGGGCTCATTTAAAAACAAACAAACAAACAAACACTCCCACCCCCAAAAAAATAAACAACAAAAAAAAGAAGTAGTATTTCAGGCCCTGTCAGTTTCTGCATCATGAGAGAGAGCACTCACACGACAGCTCTTTCTCTCAGGATCTAGGGTATCAGCATCTTGGATCCAGGCACAGTCTACTGTCTGGTCCAACAAACTGAATTTATTTCAGCAACCACACAGTTTAAAAACTGGAGGTAGCCTGTGGTTATGTCTCCTAGAAGAAAGACTGAAGTTGATTCTCCCCACAGGAATTGTACTTCAAGTTCCCCATTTTTGGCCAAAATACTCTCACCACTGACCTAAAAAAAAAAAAAAAAAAAAAAAAAAAAAAAAAAAAAAAAAGAGAGAGAGAGAAGTATACCACCCCTATGTTTTGTTTGCTTTAAAGCAGATTATAATGCAATCATAATTTGGATGCAAAATCCGAAGCTTTGCAGCATGGCCGAGACTGTACTCCTACAGCATCTTGATGTGGTGGGCGCCAGCCTCTGAATTTTAATAGAGCTCAGGCACCAACTATTCCAAAAGTTCAGCATGATCAAAACTAAATTAGCTCTGGTCATAGTGCAGTGTTGCAACTCATAACTCCTGGTTACCCGGGATATGGAGAAGGCTGTGAGGGGCTCTGAGGCAAAAATGACTTTTTTGCCTCAGTCTTCACCAGCAAGTGCTCAAGCCACACCACCCAAGCCGCAGAAGGCAAAGGCAGCGACTGGGAGAATGAAGAGATGCCCACTGTGGGAGAACATCAGGTGCGAGACCATCCAAGGCACCTGAAGGTGCACAAGTCCATGGGACCCAATGAGATGCATCCGCAGGTCCTGAGGGAACTGGCGGATGAAATTGCTAAGCCACATGATGGATACATCATATTTGAGAAGTCGTGGCAGTCCAGCGAAGTTCCCACTGGCTGGAAAAGGGGAAACATAAGCCCCATTTTTAAAAAGGGAAAAAAGGAAGACCCAGGGAACTACAGGCCAGTCAGTCTCACCTCTGTGCCTGGGAAGATCATGGAACAGATCCTCC